TAATAATAATAAAATAAATAATAAAATACAATATCAGAATAATAAACTAATAAAATAATAAACTGTTCTATAACAATATGTTTAAATCAATTACTTTTTGATTTTAATTTATTAATAACTTTATTATTATTTGATGATTCTCCAGTAAACTAATTAATTATCTTAGTATAATACAATGTGGTTCTATATATAAATCTCTTAAGACAGAAATGTGGCGTTTGTGCAAGGAAAACTTTTTTCTTACTAAGTAAATCATCTTTGAGCTTCTAACAAAAGTTGTAAAGCTCATCAAGACTCATCTAATGGTAGTAAGAACATTAAAATTGGCTTGGTAGTTCTTAAAAAATCATTAAAAAACGTTTCAGCGACTATATAAAATCTTTAAAAAAATTGATTTTCTTTAAAGAAATTTTATATGTTAACGAAACGTTTTTTAAAGATTTCTCAAGAACCACCAAGCCAATTTTAATGTTCTTACTACCATTAGATGTATCTTGATGAGCTCTACAACTTTTGTTAGAAGCCTAAAGATGATTTACTTAGTAAAAAAAGTTTTTCTTGTATGAACACCACATTTCTTTAAAAAATCTCCACATTTCTATCTATATGATTTACATATAGAACCGCGTTGCGTTACACTATGATAATTAATTAGTTCACTGGAGAATCATCAATTATTGTAAAAAACTTAACAAATAATTCTGCTATTATTTCACATATAAAGTTATACAATATTTTTCAATAAACTATATCATTTAAAGTATATATTAGTTATAAACTAATAGTTAATTTTTTTTTAATATTATAAATTTGATTCAAACTATTCTGCTTTTTTAGACAAGATAGATTTTCTAATACTATTATCAAAGTTGCTATAAAAATATTTAAAGCAATTTTTTATTACTTTGTATATAATTAAAATTTTTTAATAGAATTATTTTTGCAGAAAACAAATTATTTTATAAAATTGTGATTTTGGATATTATTTCTAAAAATTTTAAAATTTTATTAAGATAATTATTTATTAAAATTATTTTAAAATACAATAGAAATTTTTTTTATTATTAAGGTAATCTTTTGGTTATTTTTTTTTATTTGTTTTTACAGGCTGCAGTACATATTACAGATTAAAATAAAATCTGATTAAAATAAAATAAAGCCTCTCTTTTACTTCTCTTTAGAGTCTATAAACTCACATATACTTGTTTATTAATAATTCTAACTCTAAACTCTAATCTTAATACTAAAAAAAACTTTAAAAAAATAATTTTTAAAAAATTTTATTTTTTTAAAAAAATAAAAAAATAAAAAAATTTTGGTTTAATTAGATTTTATTTTAATCTGTTATAGTATATACTACTGTACTTTATACTATATATATTTAGAAAATATATATTAGCTATATGTATAACTTTTAATTGTCTATTTTATTAGTTTGTTTATAACTAAATTCTATACTAAATACTATATTTATAACCTAACTAGAGGGTTATTTATTTAAATTCTGTATCTATATGAGCTACTCTTTAATTAATTAAGAGTACAGTCAAACCTCTCTATAATCATACCTTTGGTTTTAAGAATTTAATACTTATAGAGTTTGTGTTTATATGAAGGTTAAATTTTATAAGTGCTATATATGTTGGTTTTAAAATTTTATATGATTATAAGCAAATGTGACTATAGAGGAAGTAACTATAGAGAGATCTGACTGTATTTAGTATTTGTTTATTTCAAACATCTAATTTAGGATTTTAAAGTAAACTTATACCTTATAAAGAACCTTTTATTCTTAAGATAAATTTATTAAAATTTTTCATATTTACAATTCAACCAATCTAGGTTTTAATAACTTATATATATTAAATCTAAAAACAAATACTTGTAACTTTTTATCTTTACTATTATATATTATCTACTTTGACTTTGTAGAGTTTATCTAAATCTCAGTACTCCTTTTCAAGTCTATCTAGTACTTTTCACTTTCAGTACTTTTAGTTAATTTTTCTAAACTACTAATTCAGATAGCTTAGAAGAAACACTAGTCTCTTAGTATTTATTTAATAAATTTTTTTTCTCTGGTCAATATTCTAGTAACCTGATCAATAGGATACTCTTGCTAAATAACCTAGTTATATATATAAATTTCCTTGATTATGCGATTTTAGTACCTCACGTGATCTTTCGGAATTGATTTAAGTTCGTTTATTATCTTCGTCAAATCACTTGTCTACCAATCACAATTCACGCACGTGACACGAATGCAAAGCTTATACATCCTGGACACCCTACTCTAATCCTAACGCTAACTTTAAAATTTTTTCGATGTGGCACGCGTGATTACGTGCCAGTGAAATTTTGGTGACGATCTAGGGGAAGATCAATACGATTAAATTTAATTGGCTGATTAGATCTTTCCAGTTTTCTTTGAGCGATGGATTCAGAAACATATATAGCAAAAACTTCTGTCTTAACACCTCATAAAATATCTTTGCTTGTGCTACTTTCTATATACTTTGAGACTGCTATTGAAGATGATTTATTAGAAACACTCTTGTTCTTCTTGATAGAAAAAATATCAAACGAACATCGTTTTCCTGAACCAACATTACAAGAATTTTGTGATGAAATTCACCAAAGGACGTGCCCATTGCCAAAAGTTTGCACCGAAATTCAACGGGAATGTGAATCGTCATTAGAACGAGCTTTGCTTACGCATCTAAAGTCAATGGATTCCCCTCACGATTTAATTGAACTGATAAAAGATTCTAAAAAACTGACAACAAATGAAGAAAGTGATTCTACTCCAATTCCTCTTGGAAAATATAGTATATTGGGAATTTTCGTTCGGCGTTGTTATATTGAAAGCGAAAGGTTGATGTTTGATGATATTAGCAGGCTATACAATGCATTTGTTAAATATAAGACGGACAAAACTGTGCTGTTCTCAAAAAAAGGAAAAGAAAACATGGATCTTTGCTATAAGTCGGGAGAGTTTTCTTCTGTTCTTTCAGAGGTCACACATCGCTATCATATGTGCAAACAAGATCTTATAGCCAAGTGTGATGCAGAATCCTTTTCACATTACATAATCACTCAGCTTCGCAAATATGGTGGTATCTTACCTCCTGAACTTGAAAGCAAACTTCGGGTGATACATAAAAGAATGCCTGAAATATCTACAATATATTATATTGATTATGTTAATTGTATGCAATCCGGAGAGTACGAGGGCGCGCTGACGAATTTTTACAAATATTCAAATTTTTGCCCAGAAGACGTAGAAAACCGGTGGGTTGGTATACTATTTACCTTACATGCAATGAATTATAATACATAACACATAAACTTTACGACCACACTGTAGGAATTGGTATCAGTACGTTTTATTGAATCTGGTGGTCCTTCATGCAAAATTCGGACACAAGGAGCAGGCATTATTGGTTCGTCTATAACTTTATACAATATTTTTCTTAATAATATTATATAACTAATTCAATGAGTTAACAGGCTATTCGTGAAGCAATAGAAATGGCTCGAGAGAATAATGACCAAGAGTGCCTTCGTTTTGCATTGAGGCAAATATTCTTTCTTATTGCGTTTACTTCAAATTATGACTCAATGATAATTAAAGTTATAAAATTGTAGTTGGTTGTATCGGCTCAAATCAAATGGACCGACATCCACAAAACGGGTAGACGCGACTGATCAACAGATGCTTGATTCACTCATTAGCAAAGCCAAGCAATCCAACTTCATTTATCTGCAATCTCTTGGGGAACTTGGGAACTCTCAACGTCAGATTCAACAGGTGAAATATAATGTTTCTAAAAACTATAATTCATTTCTATTTGAATATTTAAATTACAATTATACGAAATTTCAGCATTAATTTGTTAGTAAATTTCAGGGCGCGTCACCAACGGAGGTTTTTGAATCTTTACTTCGAAGTTCTATTTTGAATATGAATTGCCCATTCAAGACCATGCGCTTTCAAGGGCAACTATTAAATGCAAGTGTATGGCAAATTTATGGTATTTTAATATTCGTCAAAGTAGTCATCTTACATTAATCCAATCCATTATTAAAATTTTTTTTGACTTCAGGCAATGTTGCACTATCTGCCTTGTACTCATCAGAGGTTATTGATCATTCTGACACTAGTCCAGAAGATCTTGTAACTGCCTATTGCCAGATGGCGGATCTCGTAATATTTCATTTTTTGTTTAAATTCATCGTTTCGTACGAAAACGTCAACCTAATTATTTTGGGCTATAATAATTACACCGCATATACATTTTTTGATAGCATGTTTCATATGGTAATTATGAACAAGCTCTTAAATTGCTTGAAGAATCTAAAGAAAAATTCCTTGGAATACGTAGAGCAGCTTTACAATGGGTTGTTTGCTTAGAAAAAGTCTTATATCAGAAGTGCTTTGCAAGGTAAAAAAATTTCCATTACCATAAACCAATATATATGAATTTTTTTATTAGGCGTTTTGCGCAAATTATAATTCACTAATTTTTAAGAGATGAACGTGCAAGTATTGAAGCACTAGAGGTGCAACTTCGTGGAAGTTGTCAGGATGACGAGGTTTTGCAAGATGACTTTAATTATAATCGAGCTTTATATCTGGCAAGGATTGATCGACCGGATGAAGTGAGATATATTACTGAATGCACCTAATTCTTTGAACTTAAATCGTTAAAATATCTTAAATGAAGGAATTAATTTGTAGGCAATGGATCTTTTACATGAACTTATACAAAAAAGCTCCAGATTAGGTTCTCAAAATCAGATGCTAGTTGCCAATTATTATCTTAAACTTGCTGAAATCCGTATAGTATGTGATTTATGTTTGAATATCATTTTAAATAAATTTCAAGAATTGAACGAGCTCATTATAATTTGATGTAGGAAACTGAAGATCCAACTTCAGCATTACCTTATGTTTTAAGTGCCTTATGTATAAGTGAACGATTTCATCATCAAAGTTGTTATTTCATGGCAAAGATACGGCTTGCGCAGATATTGCTTCACTTTAACCTGGCAACAAGAGCAAAAATCATGATTGAAAACATCATGCCTGTTGTAAGTTACTTGTATAATATTTTTCCATTTGAAAAATTTCCTCTCTAAATATATACTTTTTATGCGGTCATTGTTTATAGATTTTGGCAGAACACACCTTGCGCATGCAGTCAGTCGGTCATTTTATTTACGCTCAATGCCTTCTTGGATGCATTACTCGAGATATAAGAGGTAACTACTCACTCTATTATTGAAAACGAATTGAATGACGAATTAACATTTAAACACTATAGCTCAACGCGAACAATCAATACCATGGGATGATGTTTTAATTCCTCTTCGCCGTGCACAAGCAGGCAGGTATCATTATGTTCTGCCAATTATTCGTAAATATGGCGTGCATTGCCCTATAGTTATCAATTTGTTTTTTTTTTCTTTTTTCTTTTTTTATTTGGTTCGAGCAGGCTTTCAGCGTCTAGAATCCATATCTGAATTGATCGATGTTGTGCAAGTAATAGTATATGTTTACAATGCGTCTGGTGATTTGGTTCAGCGTGATAGTGCGGCCAATCAGTTCAAAAAATTGTATCTTAAACAACAAGAAAACCAACGAAAGCAACCAGAATTAGTATCTAAAGTTCGGTTTTTAATTTAGTTATGGGTTCTCAGCCAAATAAATAATTTGTGGTTTATAATTTTTAGCCACGTATAATATAACTTGGTTATTAAAATCCGAACTTCTGAAATTGAAGTGATTCTTCATTTCGGTTTGTACGGTCGTATGAAAGCAAGTCCGGAATGTGTGACAAGGTTGATCGACAAAATTAAGAAAAAAATTTTTTCTATTTCAAAAATTTTGTCTATGAAACTGCTCTTGTGCTCTAAGAAAAAAAATTCTCATGATTTTGATTTAAGTTTTGCCTAAATCCCCTTTTTTTTCTACCCTATCAGGAACAGTATTAAAGATCTATTAAAAATAGTATTTTTGCATCTGTATTATTAAAATAAAAATTTTTTATTGATTTTAGATAGGTAGTTGTCGAGATATCTTCGTTCAAAGTTTAGAAAAACCTAATTAACTATCAAAAGCTACGTCCAAAATTTGAATAAAAATATCTTGACAACTGCTTATCTAAAATTAGTAAATTTTTTTTGTTTTGATTCTATATCTCTTTATAATTAAAATAAAAAAAAATTCATTGATTTTAGATAAGTGGTTGTCAAAATATTTTCACTTAAAGTTTAAAAAAAACTTTAAAAACTTTAAGAACCATCAAAACAAGCTGTAACAAATTTTTTTTCAAAATTTGAGTGAAGATATCTTGATAATCACTTATTTAAAATCGATGAAATTTTTTTTATTTTAATTATACAGACATATAGAATTATAATAAAAAAAATTTATCAATTTTAGATAGATGGTTCTTGCTCAAAATTTAAAAAAAAACTTGAATAACTATAAACAAACTGTGGCAAAGTTTTTCAAACCTTTGAACAAAGATTCTTGACAATTATCTATTTAAAATTGATGAAATTTTTTTTATTATGATTTAATAGGCCTGTATAATTAATATAAAAAAAATCATCCATTTTAGATAGGTGGTTGTCAAGATATCTTTGCTTAATTTTAGAAAAAACTTGAATAACTATTAAAATGAAGTTGTGATAAAGTTTTTTCTATATTTTGCATAAATATACCTTGATAACCACTATCTAAAATCGATAAAGGCAGTATCATTTATCATCTGATTTTTTTTTATCAGAGGCTTACTCCCTCCCCCTCTTACTATATATTTTAATCAGGTCTTTATATATAATTTTAAATTTTTTACTCTCTCTCCTCTTCTAAAAAATCACCTGATTTTTGTCATATCCCTAATTTTTTTTACCCTGATTCTATATATATATACAATTAAATAAAAAAAATTTATCGATTTTAGATACTATAATGTACTGATCAAAAGATTTGGGGTTTAATACAAAAAATCCATCAAAAAACTTACTAAAAACCTGGGTATATTATATAGCAATGGGTCTGTATTACAAAAAAAATAAATTTTATTTATATACATACTCTGCATTTATGATAAGCAGTTTAAAATTTTTAAAAAATCTATATTTAATTAATAGAGATCTCATGTTTTGTACTAGGTATTTTGCAAGGGATAATATTAAAAAAAGATGATACTTTGGTCAGTATACTATAGTAGTTGGTTGCCAAAATATCTGTGATCTGTAATTGAGATTCAGATTAGAAATAATCGATAATTTCATATGACTTGTAAAAAGTGGGGTTGCTCTGGTAGATTTAGAAATAATTGATGACTTCACGTGATTCATAAAAAGTAGTGTCACCCTGGCAGATTCTTTTGATATGAGTTTGCGATTATATATAGTAGAGTATCCAGGATTATGATCTAATCAATGCCAAATTATACATCCAATAAATTGCAAATTATGCAAATTATACAAATTTTGAGTTATTAGCCAATAAAATTTCAAAAAGAACGACAAGTCAGGTGATTACAGTCACCAGTTTATTTATTTAATCAATCAATTTTTGTTTATATGCTGCATAAAAGTGAGTGGATTATGCAATTTCATATAGTAAAAATCGCAAATTATATGCATATTATGCCAAATTATAATTCTAATTATAGCAACCAAACATAGCAGGCTTTCATTGTGATTGGCCAATTTTTATAAATCAACCTGTAATATAGTAAAAATTTTATTAGTTAATCAAAATTAATCAAAGTTCTAAACTTTAATTAAATTGTAATAAAGAAAAAAACTAATATATAAAAATAACTAGATCTATAATAAAATTAATACTAGCAGAAGTCTTTGTCATGAAATCTTGATAACTTAAATCTAAAACTATAATCTTGTCACAGACAAAATTCTGTCAAACCAAAATTTTATTAAAAAAATATTTTTAATTTAATACAATCAAAAAAGAAAAAAATGATCCAAAAACAAACAAAAAAACAAAAAGTATAAGAAATAAATGCTTGAACACATTTTAGAAACTAATAGCTAACAAAAATTAATAAAAAATAACTTAGTGACCACTCCAATATCAAACTGATCTTTAATTTTATTTACTATATAAACATTATACAGTTAAAATATCACTACTTCACTTTAACTCTTCTCATTAAATCTATAAACCTTATGACCTCAACTTCATATTCTTAACCTATATTATAGTTAAGTTTCTATATTAGTTGAGATTACAAAGAATAAGTTTTCACAAAATACATAAAAGACAGCTTAAATTGCTGAGTTTAATTAATTCCTTGTACCTATAAGTTAAACTTAAATATTTAAACTTATCTCTCATCTAACTTCCAAATTACTTTGTAGATTACTGAATCACTTTGACGGTTTTATAGGCCAGAAGATATTATTTCGATTTTTTTTGGTATCGAGTTTGGCCAATTCATATCTGTGGCTGCCAAACCATTTTTGTAATTGCAAAATGTTATGCCACTATGTTTAGCAACCACATAAAATATCTGCAGGCACGTGATTTTAAATCAATCACGATGCAGGATCAGGTGTAACATAAAAAACAAAATAAACTGCTGGCTTTTTTAAAAAATCATCCATAACTCAAAATTTCGACTACAAAACTACTTTCCGCATCTTAGCAAAAAAATTCCTTGCGAAATTTTGCTTACCCTTATTCTAATATCAAAAGCAAATTTTTTTGATCGAAAAACACATTGACGATCTACGGTTTGTGACCAATGAAATTTTAGTGTATATCATCACGAGACTGCGAAATTTTTATGTATAATGAGTTTGCAAGTGTCAGAGTGAGGGACCTATGTAACTGATGTAATAGTTTTTCTTATTCGTACTATGCTAAACAAGCTTCTGATTAAAAAATATGCTTTTCTTAGCAGGTAAGTTCAATAAACTTTATTTTAAATTAGATAAGCTAAAATCAACTAATTTATATTTTTTGTTTAGTGCCGAAAGACCAAGTTTGACAAGTGCAGACAGAAGAGGAAGAGATAAACAACCTGACATCATGTTTTTAGAAATGTATCGTGAAAAGATATATGAACTTATGTATAGTGAGTGCTCACGTCTAATATGCACTAAATGTAAAAAAAAAGATGATAAAGTGAAATTATATCGTGAAATGAACGACGGATTGTGTTATGCTTATAGAGGCTGCAGATCTGCCAGGAATCGATTTGGAATTCTTGGTATATAGGTTGTGAGGGATATAATGCACTTAAATATCCTTATAAAAGATGATAATGATATTCATCACCTCTTTCACCTCCATTCAGTAAAAATTCCCGTATGACCATACAATGAAGAAGATGTGTTGCAATTTGTAGAAGCATTGTTGTTTTTACGAAATATTATGATTGTTAACATATCTTTATTATTTCATTAATCGGGAATTAGATCAAAATATCTAAAGAAATGAAGTTCAAGTTCATATACTACTATATTTACTCCAAAACATCCTTCTATGAATGAGAAAATGCAAGTTATATATATATATATTTTATCTTTGTTTTATTTTTATATTCTTTATAAAGCTAGCCCTGATAGCTGATTTCACAAATATAATCACATTTACTTTTGTATGTGTATTTATTTTAATGTATTGATAATGATATATATTAATCTGTATGAGTATTTTTCTTTGCTTTTTACGCTTGTTGGATTAAATCCAACAAAAACAACTAGTTGTCTACTATTTTCTTAATACCATTCTTGAGATCACAATTAAGCGATATATTTTTTATATTAATATTTATTTATCTACCATATTAATAAAAATTTTTTCTTGGCATTTTCTGAGATGGCCCGTTCAGGAAATTTTTTGGTATTTTTAAAACTTTAAACAATTCCTTTTATATATAAAATTATTACTGATCATGTCAGTTAACAAAGCTAATCTATCTGAGCTTGAAGTAATAAGACAGTGTATCATTGATCTAGAAGCTGATAATGCTAAGATTATGCTCGAGAAAGCTGAACTTGAAGCTAGAGGTGCTGAACTTAAGGCAAGAATCGAGGAGTTAGAAAAAAATAAAGGAGTTACTACTAAACTTGAGTCTGAGAATACTAAGCTTAAAGCTAGAATTGCGAAATTGGAGAAGGATTACAGGCAAATGCAAAATGGTAATGTTACCAAGGTAACTAATTCTTCTAACAATTGTTCATCTACCTTTAATTCTATTACAGAGCAAATATTAAAAAGCAAACATAGTGAGAAATGAAAAAGAAGTGATACTAGAAGTTTCACCTCCCAGCTCTAAGTCATCGAAGGAAGTTAAGATAGATGCTTTCTTGAACGAAGTACATAAGAAAAAGGTTAGTGATGATATTAGGCAGAGAAATCAGGAAAAGAAACATCAAGCCCAAGAGATACATGGGTGTCTAAATTATTTTACTCTTGTTATAATTAAATAGCTAAATTATTTCTGACAGCCTAAATCGTAAATAATTTAGGCTGCAAAAA